AGAAAGAGTCTCAAATCGTTTGAGAAACAAGGAGTGACCATTGTTGATCTTTGTGGTGTCATTTAGTAAGAAGAAGGAGGTTCTAGCCAAGAGGAAGCAAAGGAGGTTGCTATTCTAAGGACTAAAAGCTAAGATCATTCATTTGAGGTATTATTTCGACTCTTCTTCTGTTTTGAGAAGGATATGTGGTTTTAGGGTTTCTTGTACCCTTGACTAAGTTGATTTGAGGTCCAAATAGTCCCTTCTTGAGATGAGGCTTTGTACCTGGACCCACAGAGGTCTAGAGAGCCTTATTCTTCAAGCTTTATGAAGAACAATGGAGGTCATGACCTTGGGTTAAGGTATTTGGGACAAAATCACCATTTGATGCCTATTGGTTGAGTTATAAGCATCAAGATTCAGACTTTACGTGACATTTATGCTTGGGAAGGCCATATCTATGGATTAGGGGCACAGATCTGACCACAGAAGGTCAATAGAGTCTGTGCATGGCATGAACTCGCCAAGTTGTTATTGAGACTCAACGACTTGCCGAGTTGGGGGATAACTCAGTGAGTCAGAAGGGGGTTAAAAGACTAGAGTTCAAGGCGGTACTCGCCGAGTTGTTCTTGAGACTCGGTGAGTTGAGTCGGGGTAGCCCCGCGATTCATGCCAGGTGTGACTCGTTGAGCATAGGGTAGGACTTGACGTATCAAGCGGGGCAGATAGTTAGTGGACATGTGTGTACTCGCCGAGTCACCGGAGTGCACTCGGCGAGTTGGGTCAAAGTTGACCGTTGACTTTTGTTGACTTTTAGGGTTTGGTCAACAATGGGGTCCTTAAGTCAAGAGGGGGTAAAATAGTCTTTTACCCTTCTGAGGGTGACAACAGAGAGTTGAGTCTAGCCTCGAGTGTTATGTTTCTGAGGGTATTTACTTTGTGTGAATACACGGAGGCTAGGCAATACTTCTACCGAGTCAGAGATTTACGAGACGTCTGAGGTGAGTCTTCTCACTATGCCATACCCGATGTGGTAATTATATGTGACCGAAGGGTCTTATGTGTATGATGTATATGTGATGTAAGTTATATGTGATATGTTATGTGATATGAGCATGATGTGGGCCGGAAGGTCAAGATGATACGGACCAGAAGGTCAACAGAGTCTGGGATGGAAATCCTCTGAGACACTTGGATCAGAAGGTCCTATGGCCTGGAAAGGTGTATGTGCTATATGTGGTATTTTGGGGAACTCACTAAGCATTTATGCTTACAGTTTTATGTGTTATGTGTTTCAGGTACTGGCGATGATCGTGGGAAGGCGTCGATATGACTCGTACATACGCACATTGGAGTTTAAACATTTTGATCTTGGGGTTTTGTACTGATACAATGTTTTTATTTGTAAATGTAAACTATATTATATGGTTTTTCAAAAGTGAAAAATTGTTCAAATTTTTACGGTGTTACATTAAATGGATATAATCACATGTGATTATATGTATCTAATCACATAGAATTTATGTGAAAAATATTTATTTTCGCGTTCTCGATTCAGTTGTTGTTCTTGTGTTCTTAATTACATGAGATTATATGTATCTAATTAGATATGATTTATATGGACAATATTCATTTTCAAGTTCTTGTTCAATAGTTGTTCCTGTACATTTAGTCACATATGATTTATGTACACAATATTCATTTTCGTGTTTTTGATTTAATAGTTTTTCTTTTTCCACATTAATCATATGTGATTAATACATACAATCACATTTGATTAAATACATAAGAAAAAATATTAAATCATGAATATTATCAATATAAATCATATGTGATTTGATACATATAATCACATGTGATTAAGTAGATGAGTACAACTATTGAATTGAGAAAGAAATAATGAATCTTGTCCACATAAATCATATATGATTAAATACATATAATCACATGTGATTATATATTAGAACAATTATTAAATCAATGCAAGAATAAATAGTTTACATACGAATCATATGTGATTAAATAAATATAATCACATGTGATTAAATACACAAGAACAACTATTAAATCAACACGTGAAAACAAATATTGTCGATCGATGTAAATCATATGTGATTAAATACACATAATCACATGTGATTTAATACACGATACCAATTATTAAATCGAAAACATGTGGGTGGTGACGGGTGGTGGGGGTGGTTGCGGTGGGTGGATGGTGGTAATGGTGGGTGCTGGTGGGTGGTGGGTAGTGATGGGTAGTTGGTGGTGGTGAGTAGTGATGGGTGATTGTAACACTCTAAATCAGGTATGGCTTGAAAACCCTTGAAAAATTTCAAGTTTGTCATAAATGGTCCCTTGGAGTACATGGGGCGTACTTATGAGTACGCTTAGCATACTCTACATTTTAATCGCGGGGGCATCTCACGTACGCGGGGCGTACGCCGGTGACGACCAAAACCCTAAATCCAGACTTGAGACCCTATTTAAACAACTTATGACCTCTTAGACCAAACCCTACCAGCCTCCTTAGCCCCATTTCGTATATTTCAGCTGAGTTTGAGTGTGATTGAGTGTTTGGGCTTAAGAAGAGGCTTTTGGTGAGCATTTTGGGAGTTATTTCAAGAAGGTGATTTGCTAGACAAGCTTGGGACGATTTGGTGCTTCAAGAATCTGTATTGTGGACATCTTGCAAGGCTTCTAGAGGTAAAAAGTTTGCACCTTGCCATTTAAACCTTTAGATCTAGCAGGGTTTCTAGTTTGTCCCTTTTTGTTGATTTTGAACCTCATTTGATGAGATAAGCTACTCCATGAGGTGGGAAGGTCAGATCTGAGGTCCCTTAGTCATTTAGAGACATAAAAATGAGATCTTGATGGATGTATTGGTTCCTCAACTCGTCGAGTCCCTCCTCCAATCCCAAGATTAACATACGCAATAATGTCTCTGAAAATCTGGATGTTACAAATTTTGCTACCAATTGGGGTCCATGCCCCAAAAAAAGGAAGATCATGCTTGCTACCCTTTATGGCTATTTTTGGGGTGATTGAAATGCAGGAATGATATGCTTTTTAAAAAGATTTGTATCCACCCTTCTAAAGAGGCAAATAACATCATTTCGACTGTTTTTGGATGGGTGAGGGGTAATTTCGATAATTTTAATTGGGTAGATTAGTGTTGCAATCCATTTAGTATCATGTAAGTGGTGCTAGAGGTGCACAAAAAAAGGTTCACGATCCGAACCGGTAAACTGGTCCACTATGAACCGAACCGATTCAAGAATCGAATCACTGGTTTGCACCCATTCGAGATTTTAGACATTGAAACTGGTTTAGTAACGATGAACCAGTAGTCGATCCGATCAAACCAGTTTAGAACCAATGTAACCGGTTTAGATAGGTTCGAGTTTTTTCTATGATGGAACCGGTTTTACTATTCTTGAATTGGAACCGAACCAGTTCGGTTTGAAGAAAAAAAAAAGGGTTTGTGCACCTCAAGTGTTGTGTTTTGTATGTTTGTTTTCTTGGTCTCGTACCTTTCAAGGTTGTTGCTTTTTTATTTATATATTTTTTTCCGTAGTTTTCAAAAAAAAAAAAAAAAAAAAAAAGATCGTATTTATTTGCTAATGATAAATCGTCACATTAGAACCTTGGTTATGTGATGATGTCAGTTAACGCGGTTGACTGTAAGATTTATAATAAATAAATAAACTTTAAATTAAAGAGGCATAAAATCAAGATACCACCGTTTTATGCCGTATCTTCCCCCCAATTTTCGGTCTGGCAGATTTAAAACATTTTTTTGGACAAAAATTCGATGGAGATTTCTTCATCCGTTTTGCCTCATGCATACGTATTATGATGCTCTATCGTATATTTATAATTAGAACCACCGTCAACAACCACCGCCGCCGTCATGTATCAAATTTCTCTATCCGACGCCTCTTCTCTTCCTCCCCTTCCGCCAATCACCACGAGAATTCCACCGGTTCCAACAAAAACCTCAAGAAGTTGCAAAATGCAGGCCCGCTATCATCGCTTCACGGGTTCCACCGTCTCCGGCATTATCCGCTCTCCCGCTTTGCAATCGCCGCGAGCTTGATATCCGCAGCTGCTGCCGCCTCTTGCATGAGTTTCTTTGACGACGATGAATTTGAGAAAATGAAAGCGAAGAAGCAGAAGAAGAAGCGCGTTTTTAGAGATTTTACAATTGAACGTTCGAACGAGTCGTTTAGGAGAATGTTGGACACGGTGAAGCATACAGGCGTTGCTGTATCGGTTCTCTGGAAGTCGTTGAGTTCTATTTTGTCTTCGGCGAACGATGAGGTTCGGTCAGGGTTTGAGGTTAGGGTTGCGGCGTTGTTAGCGGACATTGTGGCTGGAGATGAGAGCCGGAGAGCTGCGATCGTCGGTGCCGGTGGTGGCCTGGTGGTGGATTGGTTGTTGGAGGCGGTGGCGTTGAAAGGAGGGGGAAATTATGGAACTCAGGCGGAATCGGCTAGGGCTTTGGCTTACTTGATTGCTGACTCTAATGTCTCTGAGAAGGTTCTCCGAAGGCCTCGTGCAATCCCTAATCTTATCAGGTTCATCCTCTCTGCTCATCCTCATCCTTGGGAACAGGTATATTTGTCTGAAAGTAAAACTTTTGACTGCAACTTGTTCCAATTTCCAAAACATTCAAACAATTTTGACATCCTGCTTCTCCATGTAAGCAGCAATCAAGGCATAATTCCTTCGATATTGCTGATCCTTTGAAAGGCAGGAGCATGCTTGTTACAGCTATCATGGATATTGTGACTTCCAGCTGTGACAATGTGGAAAAGGTCCATCTTAAGCCTATGTTATCAGCAAAAGCTGCAATGAGAGACATTGCAACTGCACTTCAGGTTGTTGAAGAAGGTGGCATCTACTTAGATGAATCCCCCAGGATTAAAAGGCATTACAGGATATGGGAAACCTACTCCTAAAAACCAGAAGAATATTTTTTAACAAAGTGAGTGATAATTATCCATCTCAACAAACTGTTATCCCTGGTTTGTGGGATGATTTGCAATCACAACATGTTGCTGTTCCTTTTGCTGCATGGGCTTTAGCAAATTGGGCAATGGCATCACCTGTAAATAGATCTCATATCCAAGAACTAGACCATGATGGACATGCTATCATGACTGCTTTAGTTGCTCCAGAAAGATCTGTAAAATGGCATGGAAGTTTAGTAGCTAGGTTTCTTCTAGAAGACAAAAATCTCCCTTCTGATGATTTTGTTTCTGATTGGAGTTCCAGTCTTCTTTCTACTGTTTCCCAAGCTAGCAAAAGTGATGATGTTCCTTTAACTCGTGTGGCTTTATCTGCATTCTTATTATCACTTGAAAGATGCCCTGGTGCTCAAAAGAAAGTTATGGACAAAAGCCTTGATCTAATGAGGGAAACTGCTAAAAGAATGAAGAAACATGAATCTGTACAAGAAGCATTAGCAAAAGGTCTTGAATCACTTTGTTCAGGGAACATTCATTTGCCTT